GGGTTGTGAATTTTTATGCATCTTAAATGAAAGGGCTTATTCCGCTGCTCAACCGTTTGTATCAATGGACTGATATGTATGTAGACTATGAGCCAACCCTCCTTTTCTAAGGAATCCGTCTCACGAGACCAAAAGAAATCAGCTAAAAAAAAACTGATGTAAGTGCACCGCGCGGAACTCTGGGAGTGAGGCGCACAAACCCCGCTTTCAGAGTTCTGTGCAGTGCGCCAACACCATTCGGTCTTGAGCACCTCGTGATCCCTCTCCCTTCAGATACCACCTTGACCTGCAATGAACCACAGTTATCACATACATACATACTACATACATGCATACATACATACATACTACATACATATGTTAATTGACCACTCCCCATGGGGGCTTTTCAGGGCCAATTCCCGTCCAATTACTACAAAGGTTATTATCAGAAAGAGCTAACGGAACTTAAATTAAAAACCAGCAAGATGCAAAGCTGCTCTGTTTTAGTTTTGCATGTGTTTGGTTAAGAAAATAGTACGAAGTTCCTGGACCAATCAGGAAGGGAATTAGACCAAAGCCATTGCAGTTCCCATCATCCTCCCTACTTAATTAAGATATTCCTTTTTTACAGGTTCCAGTTTAGGTTTGCCCATGTACGTGTTTGGAACAGAGACGCACATGACCGCCATTGTAGGCATGGCCTTAAAAAAGAGAGAGATTCCTAAAGAAGTTGGCTTCGACTCAAATGCAGCAGCAAATATGTTCTTCAATGCGCAGAACAAAGTAAGGATTTCCTCTTTTTTGGTAGTGTGTGACGTGGTTCTTAATTTTTTTCTGGAGAACGAAGCTTTATCTACATGACTCAATAACAATTTGGGTCATACAGGAGTTCCTCCGTGTTTACACAGCCTCTTCTAAATACAAGAGGAATGGGAGAATCCCAGATGTAATCGGGAGAGCGCGTAACTTTGAAGACTGTCCTCTCCCCCCTCCCCCTTCCCCCGAGTCGGATACTTTGGCCATTCCCCATTCCACCTCCTGGGGGCCGGTTTTTGCGTTTTTTTCGAAATACATTTTATATATTTTAAAGGCAGTCATCAGTAAGGGTGTCTTGTTGATAATTTGTCTCCTTTTTGGTTGTTGGGTGATTTTTGTAACGAGTTCTTAAAATTCAATCAACACCACGATCGGTTCTCTGTGCGTCATGTTGAATGGACAAAAGAGAAAGACTGGTGAGAAATCTGCCTCGATTACCGCTGAACTGTCTTCCGCCTACTTATGTCCTAATATACGCCTACTTCCGAAATTCATAAAATACCTGAGTGTTAAGATGAGGCTATTTCAATTCGGGAGTCATCTTTTCTTTCTTTAGATATTTTTCGAAAATACGCGAGAATCAAACACATTGCAACCGTTTTCACTAAGGATGTTAGTTATTTTATTGATTTCAAAAGTCTTACGCTCAGCATCATCATCCCCAGGGGTCTGTAACTAGTGGAAATCACGCATTGTTAGCGTCAGGTAGTAAGGAAAAAACAGCTGACGAGAAACCTTCACCAGAACAAGAGCGCAGAGTTGCAAACGGAAAGAAAGCTCCTTTGTTTACCAATGAGACCAGGGCGATCATCTGGGGCCTGCAAGCACGAGCTGTACAGGTATACTTACTTACTTATTTTACTGTCTCTTCTCTGCCCTCAATTCGCAGTACATGCGTGTTATTAAAGGGATCGAGGTAACGTTTCAAGCTCCGCGGCGATATTTCATTGAGTTGATGAGTTTGTTTTAAGGTTACAGTGCTGAGATGGATAGAGAAGGGGGTTGCTTATCATCCATCCCCTCAGTAAAGGTTTTTTTTCTCTTCCCACCCTTAAAAAAAAGACCGCGGGGCCTCTCCCCAAAGGTACGCCGGTGGAAACTTTATCCTCAGATTGAACGTTAGAATCTGGGATCGACTCCTGCCTACGTGCAAGGCTCTCGAGCCCTAATAGCAATTACGAAAGGTGTCATCAATATAATTTGAATATATCAACAAAGTTGAAATGGTAAATTGGGCACCGTTACGATTATAAAAGCTGACGTTTCGAGCGTTAGCCCTTCGTCGGAGCGAATAGGGGAATTGTGGGTTGTGTGTGCTTTTAAAGGCAGAAAGAGGAGCTACGTGATTGGTGGGAACATGGCAACGAGAAAAACACGAATAAATTGGTGGAATGATTTTCGCTATTGTTAGCTCAATTGGTAGAGCGCTGCACTAGTATCGCAGAGGTCAGTGGTTCGAATCCCGTACAGGCCTTATTTTTTTTCAGGTCTGATTTTCGCTATTGCATAAATAGCGCTCTCTACTGCGAGGATTGTGCATCATACGCAAACTACCGTAAAGCAGATAATTTGCAGTTTTTTGATGCGTAATAACTGTCGAGATCCTCCTAACTGCGCTTGGTTAGCTCATGTTGTAGAACGCCGGACTGCCGCGCGGGAGGTCAAAGGTTCAAGCCCCAGACCGGACCTACATTCGAGGTCTTAAAAAAACTAAGGCGAATGTGATACCTTCGCTATGACATCTGTGAATGGTTAGGCGTTTTAGACTTCTTGTATAAGGACAATAAACCGTAGGGTCCGTCTCCTGCATCTTCTCTATACTGGTTAGCAAGGGGCGTTAAAGAACCCTCGCACTTCTTGGAAAGAGCAGGGAACGTAATTCCGGGTGTTGCGATATGGCCTTTTTACTGTTTATATAGCCTGAGCTCCCATTTAAACCAGCTTAAAAGCTGAACTGGGTCAGTCTGTCTGGGATCGTAAATCGCAAATAAAGAAAGAAATATATATGTATATATATATATTTTTTTTCTTTATTTGCGATTTATGATCCCAGACAGACTGACCCAGTTCAGCTTTTAAGCTGGTTTAAATGGGAGCCCAGGCTACTCATCACCTTAGTTGTGAGTTGAGCACTCTCGTATGGCAACATGCCTGCACTTGGTCCCACAAGTGGAGCGCCTAGGCAATGGTTTATTCCAGAGCTTGGCCCAGTGTCTGCACTGCACTGATGAGACCCACATAGGTCGAAACAGTGTGCACCCTGTCTGCAGTTATATATATATATATATCTCACTAATCACGGGAATTTGAAGAATCATGGAGATTTAATGGATGATGAAGTTTAGATTAAACACCTTTTGTTCTATTTTAAGGGCATGCTTGATTTTGATTATGTTTGTGAGAGAAAGAGACCATCTGTAGCTGCTATGGTGTACCCTTTCAGGTCAGGCATTGCTATTAAATGAATATTTTGACTTACGACATTTGGTCCAGTTTTGAATGAACATCTAATCATCATTTGTTGTTCTTTTGTTATATTTTAAAGTCATTGCAGATAATTCAAAGCTTTTCGTTACTTTTATTACAGCGGAAATCACCGACAGAAGTTCTACTACGGACACAAAGAAATTATGATCCCAGGTTGGTTGGTGTAATTTAGGGTTCTGCGATTTTCTTTTACTGCGGCGACCATTGGAGTGTTTTTTGGTTGATGCGCGGAAGTCCGCATAAAAGTGTCGATTTTCGAAATATGAATTGAATTACTGAGTTTTGTTTGATGGGCGGAAGTCCGGATAAAAGTGTCGATTTTCGAAATATGAATTGAATTACTGAGTTTTGTGTTACTACTGCCTGGCTAGCTTAGGTTGTGTAGCGCCGGACCGCTGTACGGAAGGTCTCTAGCATCGCAATGCCTCGAACCCAGGAATATGAATCCAAGAAAATAATTGTAAACAAGGTGTAACCTGCTTTTGACTTACATCCGTTAAAAGGGAGTGTAATGTGACGAGAGATTTTTTATTTTCCTTATTTTCCTCTTTTCGTTTTATTTTTAGTTTATAAAGACATGTCTGAGGCCATGAACAAACATTCTGATGCTGATGTGATGGTTAACTTCGCGTCGCTCAGATCCGCTTACGATGCCACTCTAGAAGCCCTGGAGTTTCCACAAGTAAGCCTATAGCTTTGGTTTTTCCTTGGGTGCTCAATTTTCAACCAACCTTTTGCGTTGGCGAAGGTTTTTTTGCATGAGTCGGAACCACGCAGGACATACGTAACGCCGGAACTGAGAACACGGCGTTATGCGTGGCAAATTTCTTTTATTTCTTTTTGAGCAAGAGCGTCTGATAGGTCTGTGGAGAGTGATTGGTTCTTCCCATCTCAAATTCGCGAAAACCGAATTTAACCTCTTTAAATTGTCGTTGACAGATTCGCACGATTGCTATCATCGCTGAGGGAATCCCTGAAGCAAAAACCAGGCAACTGAATCAGAAAGCTAAGGATCTTGGAGTGACTATTATTGGCCCGGCAACTGTAAGTGTGACGTACAAAGATGCTTCTTTGTTCAAGTAAAACCTTCCGGAAGACAATTTTTCGAAGCATCAAATAGTTTAGTTGAGAAAAGGTAGGATGGACATCGTATGGACTCTGGTTTGGAAGGTTCTGAGCATAGGAAGGAGCACTCGCATCCGACCTGTGAGCGTTTGAATAATTGCGTGCATCAGTTATGTATCAGCATCCCTGGTTAGTCCTGGTTGTAGAGCGCAGGACTGCCCTGTAGAAGGTCGAGAGTTCACATCCCAGACCTGATCAACACTCGGGGTCTTTAAAACTGAGGAGAATATCCTGCCTTCGCAATGATATCTGAAAATGGTTACACACTCTAGTATTCTCGGAAAAGGAAGACAAACCGTAGGCCCCGCCTGCTCTTTTCTGTACTGGTTAGCAGGGGACATGCACTTCTTGTAAAGAGTAAGGAACTTAGTCTCCGGTGTTTTGGTTTGTCCTTGATTGTGAAATGGAGGGGGGGGGGTGGGGCATCTGCAAAAATGCCCTTAAAAACTGTAAACTGCTCAATGCAGCCTGACCATAGTCCCCCGAAAAGTGTTGTAAATCGCCATAAGCTCATAGATGCGGTGATGTAGAAATCCTTTATCGTCATCATCGCATCAAGAAGGAAATAAAAATACCTCTAGTTGCTTCATGTTACTTTAACAGGGATAAGCTTTGACAACTCTTTTGAGTCAGTCACGTGGGTTGAATAAACCCTTTTTTTATGTAACCGCGTCTGTCTTGATTGTCCCAGGTTGGCGGTATTAAACCTGGTTGTTTTAAGATCGGCAACACCGGTGGTATGTTGGACAACATTTTGGCGTCAAAGCTGTACAGGCCGGGAAGGTAAGGCGAATGGAAAAGTGATTTGGTCACGCTGCTGGTGTCTCACAACAAGGCGATAAAAATTTGAAACCATTTTGTAATGTTGTGTCGAAAATGACTACTTTTAGTTGGGGTGACTAGCTTTTTATTAAGTTAGACCCTCATAACTTCAGATACGAAAAAATGTTTTCTCAAGCCGGTTCAAAGTTCGCCAAAACGGTGGTAACGTATCCCATTCTAAGATCTAAGTAAATCGATACGAAAGCAAACATGCCATTTTTATTTCAATGCGAAAGTTTTCTGGCAAATAAAAATGTTGCCCGTGAAGTACTTGCACGCACGAAAACCTGTTTGGAAACTAACCAATGACAATGATTGTTTTAAACTAATCAATAAAAATGCATGTTCTTTACCTAAACAATCAGAAAACTTAGTTGAAGTCGATCAGTAAGAATGCTTAACTATTCTAACCAGTGAGAATACTTGTTTCAATCTAGCGTACGAGAATTCATGTTTTAACCGATCAAGGAGCATACTTGTTTAATCTTACTAACCCTTTGACCCGTAGGGGTGACTACAATCTAATTTCTCCTTACCATATCACCTCTGAATCTTACATTAACGTCACGAGAATACAGGAAATGGTCACCTACTGAAGAAGCTCGAGGTTATTAAACAAATGTTCCTTGTCAACATCTTGGAAATGTATAGAGAACCGTATGGAGAATATGCATACTGATGTTAGTTTGTTAAGGGTTATTGAGAATACCTGCTTTAATCTGATTCATTAAAAAAAATGCTCGTTTTAATCTACAGTGTTGCCTACGTGTCTCGATCAGGCGGAATGTCCAACGAACTCAACAACATCATCTCGCGAACCACTGATGGCGTCTATGAGGGCGTGGCCATCGGAGGAGACAGGTATCCGGGTACGACATTTATGGATCATGTGATGAGATATCAAGAAAACCCGGATGTGAAGATGCTCGTTGTCCTTGGAGAGGTGCGTGTTTGTTCATTATTTGAAAGTAGTCAAGCTACGGAATTATGAATAATTTTTTTTTAGCTGTATTAGACTACTTTCAACTCGAAGGAGTTTACCAAAAAACATAGTTAAAAAAAATACTGTTAGGGAACAATAATGACTAAAATTGCAGAAGACTAACAAGGATTGTAAATGACTAACCCGCTAGGTTAGCTCAGGTTGTAGGGCGCCCGACTGCCAAGGTCGAAGGTTCAGGCCTAGGCCCAGGCCCTTTACTATGACGTCTAAATAATTAGACGTTCTAGTCTAGTCGGATAAAGACGTTAACCGGTGGCCCTTTCTCTTGCATCTTCTGTGTACTGGAATACAGGGGATGCTAAAGAATCCACACCCACAAAATTCTCTCAAAGAGTAAGGAACATAATTCCTGGTGTTGTGATCTGACCTTATTTCCACCAGCAAAAGTTGTCTTTCAAAAATTGTAAACATCTCATGCAGTCTTGCTGAAGTGTTTTAAAGCACATGAGAGCATATTGACATGGAAATGTGCCATGTAAATGAATCATTAACAGATGCATCATTATCACTATCTATAAGTTTGGTTAGATGGGAAAATACGAGAGAAAGTGGGAATAAAGCAAGAATGACTAAGGATGCCGGGAGAAGATTAAAACAAATTAAAAGATTTGTATTTTGAATATGCTTAGGCCTTAATGTCGTTTTCAACTGCCTTTTAATCCTCTTGTAAATACTAGGTCGGTGGAACCGAGGAATACGAGATCTGTGAGGCCATTAAGAACGGCACGGTTACCAAGCCTATTGTGGTTTGGTGCATCGGGACTTGCGCTGGAATGTTCACGTCAGAGGTGAGTGAACTGGGCACCAATACTTTCCTGAATTAGCAGAAGATTTTAGAAACAATACTCGCTAGTGTTTGACTACTAATAACTTGCCCTTTTATTTCATGTTTAGGTGCAGTTTGGCCATGCTGGAGCCAGCGCTCATGGAGACAATGAAACAGCGGTCGCTAAAAACAAAGTAAAATTTTAATGAAATTTACTGACCAGCTCTAACAGAAATATAAAGTAATGTAACTTTGAAATGTCTTAAAAAGGAATAGTATACTTCAGAAGCCGTCTGATTTTATCTTCGTCGTTTAAAATTTACAGAGGAAGTTCAAGTATATTGACCAGTAGTGTGTCGTTGTCGAACAAACTGCCATGGGATCTGAAAATAACTAGCGAGTAATCAGAAAAGAATTCAAAGTGCTAAGCAGCCCAACGATGAGATTTCTTACTAACTTTGCAAAGATCCGAGTTGAATAAGAACAAAACGCGGAAGCTTTTTTATTTTTAGCCTTTTTATTTCGTTTTTTAATCTTGTCATGCGCATTTGAACATTTTATGGAATTTGTGCATTATAAACGTCCTATTATAATTATTATTATTATTATTATTATTATTATTATTATTATTATTATTATTATTATTATTGAGGGAATCCTTGTTGTTTCGTACCCGCGGATGTATCCACTCAGTCGATCCGTACCCAAATTTAGACGTTGTCTTTTCACACTTGAAATAGTTTTTCAATGTCTCTTTTCACTTCAACTCATTCACAGGCTTTGAAAGATGCTGGAGCTTATGTGCCGGACAGTTTTGATTCTCTGTTTGAAATGATCAAGTAGGTTACCTTGCAGTCTTCTCCATTCCCTTTTTTTCCTCTGTTTCTTTCTTTTGTTCATTCTTACTTTTTGTTTTTTTGTTTGTTTGTTTTTTGTTCATCTTTTCGACATTGTTGCATGCTAATTTAAAAACCATAGATTTAAAACATATTACAACGCTTTCGGACAGTGAAAATGATAGTTTTCAAGCATTTTCCAGATTGATGAGTGAAATAGATAAAATAGCTTCCAACGAAACATTATGGAAAACGAATTGATTATTTTAACTTAGAACCTTATATAAGCGGATTTAAGCCTCAGAAAATTGGGAGGTGTTCACCGATAGAAAATGATATAACATCTACGAAACAGATGAGTAATTGAAAGCTATGGGCTCTTTTCACTGATTTTGTCATTATGTTGATTTCTGATCTTCATGAACTGTGCCCATCTTCACAGCCAATCAGATGCGACTACCAAATCAGTTGTCATATTACTCTTCAAATTTCAATCACGACGAGAATTTTTATCAATGTTTAGCCGTCACCGCAGACGAAGTAAATTTTCCTAACTTTGCAGTTTTGCTTCTATTTCTGCAGGGAAGTTTATGAAGTGCTGGTTAGGGATGGGACAATCGTTCCTAAACCCGAGAAAGTTCCTCCAACAGTTCCTATGGATTACTCTTGGGCACAGGTCAGTAAAATAATTACATGTAGAGGGGGATCCAGAGAAACGGGTCATGGGGTCGGAGGGGTAATGGGAGGGGGGGGTCCGGACCCCCTTCAATGAGACCCATGGTATTTTTTACTCTTCGTCTGACCCCAACATTTTTGCAACGACGAGATCACATATGACTCAGTTTGAAGTACTCAAAATTTTCTTGTCATGAAATATTTCTTAGCTTTTTCGGGCTATGAAATTCTTCTCCCCCTCCTGATCAAAATCCTTGGATCCACCGATGGCATGGTATAGGATCTGGCCAGGCGAGTCACCTACCGGAGTCTGCGACAATTTTCCATTTGCTCTGGACTCGACCATCCAATTTTAGGAAAGATCGGCTTATTGGGAAAATCGCTGAGTTTCCATTTCCTGCTTTGATTTTTGTAATGTTATGGCCGGAATTGACCGCAAGTCTGATCATTCTACAAAGGACAGACTCAGATTGGGCGTAGGGAGAAAGAAAAGAAAGAGAAATTATCCATTTCGTTAAGACTTCACTCCTCATAACCTTTTTTTTTTTTTGAAAATGCATTGATGTTGTGAGGAAAAATTCATGCTTAGCCACTCCTGGGAGTGAAGGGCTCAAAGAAATGCGATTAGGACGTACGGCTGCAGGTAGTTTTACATGTTTCACAAGCCATACTCTGACGGCGAACTCAAACCATTGCTGCACCCTAACATCTGAAAGATGTCTGTATGGAGGATTTTATTTTTATATGTTCGTCTTTTTGTGCTTTTCTTTATTTATAGGAGCTCGGTTTAATCCGCAAACCATCCTCATTCATGTCAAGTATCTGCGATGAGAGAGGAGCAGAACTCTTGTACGCTGGCATGCCGATCACAGAAGTCTTTAAGGTATGAACGCTTATTTTCAGTGCATAGAATTCTTCATCTAGCGAAGCAAAAATCTTTTTTCAGTCTATAGTTATTTTCAAATCCCTCGTTACGCTTCGGATTCCTTAAGAATGAAAAAATAGTATTATAAGCTTTGGCAAATGGCATTAGGTCTTGAAACGGTTTGTTTAGCCGTCGAATTCATAACGACCTATGTGTAGAATGTAGGTACTTAGTCTAAAAGACACGACACATCACTAACAAGTTTTCATGAGAGTCTCGCTCTGGGAACGAGACAGCCACTCTACTTATTTGACATGTTAATAATTGCCTTCCTTTTAATTTTCGCAGGAAGGCATCGGTGTTGGAGGAGTTCTGGGTCTGTTATGGTTCCAAAGAAAGTATGTGTACCAGTGGTTTTTGCTGAATATGAACAGTTAAGGACCGACCTTGCTTAATAAAAGATCTAATTAATCTGCTTTTCTGTCTTTTAGGTTACCTCCTTACGCAAATGAATTTATTGAAATGTGCCTTATGATAACCGCTGACCATGGACCAGGTAGGTGTTACGTAGGAGTTGTTACGTAAGAATTACAATCGTCCAGAAAGTATCACATTTTGCTGCACATCGCAAACCTGGAAAAGTTTGGATTAATAACGAAATTTTAGATAGAATGACTACACATGTGCAGCCGGTGTTTTTGTCCCGTTAAGGCGCAACTTTACGTCAGTAGTTTTTTCAATAAATTCGACACAATATTTGTGGAAATCAGCGAATATCAATGCTACTGATTTTATCAATGCTACTGATTTTATCAATGCTACTGATTTTATCAATGCTACTGATTTTATTGTCACACAACTTACTCTTTTTTTTGTCACGAACAGCCGTTTCAGGTGCACATAACACTATCGTGACAGCCAGAGCTGGCAAGGACCTCATTTCATCATTAGTGTCTGGTCTTCTTACAATTGTAAGTAGAAAGAAAATCCAAGCCGTAACCTAAGTCTACCACAAATCAGATATGGGCCACGAATCACGATGTCGCGAATCTTTGGCGACCAAGATTTGGACTATTCGTACAACTCAAACACAAAGTGCGCATGCGTGAGTCGCAGCGGTTTGGATGTACTTTCATTTTTTGCTTACGCTTTCTCCAATGCTCTGCTTACGGCAAATGTGTTAATCAAGCTTGAATTGGGAGACGAGCGAGAAATTTGCGAGAAAATTAGTAAAACTGACAAACCTGCTGGGCTAATTCGAGGTGTCTTTCTCGATGTGGTCAGCTTCTTGGTAGTATTCGGCTAAATTATCAAATCATAACGAAAAATGGCTCTTCTGCCGTCCGGGCCAACTTGCAGATTTTTCAAGTTGCCTTTATGCCGTTCATTTTACCTCTGTCAAAGTCTTTTTAATTGTTTTTTTTTTTTATCAGGATCGTTGTTTTCATAAAAGCGATTTTTGAAAATATAAATTTTTTTTTTCTTTCAGGGTGACAGATTCGGCGGAGCTTTAGACGCAGCAGCTCGACTTTTCTCTCATGGTCTTGACAGTGGAATGGAGCCCATGGAATTCGTGAATGATATGCGAAAGAAAGGGCAACTTATCATGGGAATTGGACACAGAGTCAAATCTGTAAGAAACTTGTGACACTAGTTTGTGTAGTTAAAAGTTATCTTTTGGGTAAACTGTCCGCTTAATCAATTTTTTCAAAACAGCTAGACTACTTGATTCACGATTTTTTTTTTCTAGCTGAATAATCCTGACATGCGAGTTGTGATCCTAAAAGACTTTGTGAACGAACATTTTCCCACCCACCCAGTGATGGACTACGCTGTTGCAGTCGAAAAGATCACCACTTCAAAGGTAAGCAGCACCCCCCTGTCTCCCCCTCCCACTCCCTTAGTCGTACCTCTCACCGAGTTCTTTCTTTTGTGTCCAGCACATTTTTCTTCCTTGTCTTGTCTCGAGGTCCTCGTAGGTAACATTTTCTGCACCACGTGGTCGAATTCCGAGGGAAACATCTTCTCTCCCCCCGCAACACACAATTTTTGGCTTTGTTTTTCTTTTTCTCCAAGTGATTAGTCCACAAAACTCGTGTTACTTTCTTAAGTAATCAACTTCAAACTAACATCAATCGTGACCTGATCACTGGCGTTTCTCGCGCCCCATATTCAGTTAACTTGTTTTATAACTTTGAAGTCTGATTGGCCTCTTTTTGAAGTTGTACTTTGTTCTGATTGGCGGCTGTGATTACTTTGGTTTTCGTTTTACGTCATTCAGTCGATTTGTTAATAACTGTTTACACAGTTATTGGCAACGAAAGTAAAGTGAAACGATGAGATGATCTCATTTGCAGTTTTTGAGCAATAAATATACGTTTTGGGCACAGACCTTTGCGAATAAATTCTATTCAGCCTCGTTAGTAAAGTTATTAACATTTAATTTTTCTTCTAATCATGACAGAAGCCGAATCTTATCCTCAATGTAGACGGCTGTATCGGCGCTGCCTTTGTAGACCTGCTTCGTCATTGTGGAGCGTTCACCAGGTATAGATAGGACAAACTGGTTTAGGACAAACACTCGGAGTCTTTACAAGGACTTGTATGTGAAACGTGTCAGAAGCAAGACTATTTTCGCTCAAAAAATGCTCTAACTTTCTAAAATGGTTGCAACTAAGCATTGCTGTTGGGTTGCATGTAAAAATAACTCAAGATATCCAGAAAGATTGCCAGATTCGCTTAATCCGCCTAAAGAAATGCTTAAAAACGGTCGGAAAGCCTTCATACCGTTCCCAAAGCCGAAGCATGCATGACTTGAAACTTTGTCAACGCCGG